TTTGGGAACAGCTAAGTTGAAAACCCAGAACATATTTGTCTCAAACACCCTCAGCAATGTTATATTGTATACAGTTGGCACGGAAATAGGATATATTCTTCATGGTTGTACATTATACTTTCTCTTCATTGGACATGATGAAGGACATGTGTTTATTTGTGTAAATAGCATAGAGCAGTTTTCTTTATAGAGGAGGTGGGACTGGTATTAAGAAATCTAATTTTAAATTTCTGTTTTACCATTTGCTGTGTAATCATGAACTTACCCTTCTTGAAGTTCATTTGTTTAACATTAAGTGGTAATAATAATACCAATCTTCCAGTGTTGACATGAAGATTAAATAAGATATGCACTCAAAAAGATTAGTTAATCATTAAGCTTGGATGCAGACATCTTTAGTAAGTTTGTTATGTCTATAGAGCAGGGAGGATTATCAGTGGGGTCAATTGGGATACAGAACACATTAACAAGCTGTTAGTCAGATTTTTGGCGTTGCAACAAAATACCTGAGATAAACAATTTGCAAGGAGGAAAGATTTATTTTGGCTCATAGTTTTAGAGGTTCAGTGCATGGTCACTTGGTCCTGCTACTTTGGGCCAGTGGTAGAATAGTACATCATGGTGGGAAGTTGTGGCAGAGAACATCTGTTTACCTCATGGTATATGGGAAGCAAAAAAAAAAAAAAATAGAAGACTCAGAAGGGGGGTCCTCATATCCCTCTCATGAGCATATCTCCAATGGCCTGCCTTCTCTTACTAAGCTCCATCTCCTAAAGGTTCCACTAACTCCCAGTCCCACAGGGTAAGGACTAAGCCTTCAATACAGGGGACAAGGGTAGGGAGCATTCCATATCCAAAGTATAGCACATGCATTTTCCTGAAATTACATTTACTATTTAGTTTATGGTCCTACACAGTGCAGATTAGATTCACACCTCTGAATTTTCCAACATGAACTTATATGTCTGTAACTTGTATGTTACCTTAGTTATTTTTTATTCTGAAAATATTATATATTCTTAAGAAAAAAGAACGCAGTGTATTTCATAGACCTGAGCTATTTGTTTTAACTTGTCCGTGTGTTCTCTGTTGGCTCATTATGTAGTTTGAGGTGAGGGGGCTGCCATTGTGTTTATACATATTTACATTTTTATGTACATATTTAAGTATCATTCTTTTTCCATGCCATGCATTCTCTATACCCCATTTTATCTAGTAGAATTGCAAAGGACTTTATGAATTGCTACATATATGCTAAAGAATAACAATGATTTTAAAACAGTACAGAATGTAATTAATTTTTATAGAAACAGTATGTACCTGCCAAATGGGTACTTTGCAAATGAAATTGTTTTTGATTGTGTGAAACTGCTTGAAAATGTGATTCTCCAAAGCTTTTATTTTTCCCCCTTATGGCTAGAAAACAGTGATATGGAAATTAATTATGACTATGCACTCAAGACTAGTTCTTCTCTTAAAAAAAACAACAACCTTAAAAATCCCCCACAAAGTTTCTTTGGATAAAAAGCAGGGCTAAGACATTTGTATGTCCTGAAATCAAATTCCATGCATGTATGAGTTTGTCTGAATGAATCAACTACTCTGTATAGCTATAAACCTCTAATTAAAGAAAAGAAAACAGGGTCTGCAATGGTAGCTTTGAGTGATTCACCACCTGTCCCACTTTAGGGTGTGTTTATATTTCATCTGTTTGGTACAAGGTGACATTTTTCTCTAGTCCCCTAACTCCCTCAGGATTGTAGTATAATAAATTTGTATTATTAGGCCCAAATTCTAAATAGAATGCACTGATTTATTCTGACAATGTGTCTTAGTGCATGTCAGTTGCAAAATGTACACAATAGAATGTGTTGTTAAGGACCTGTTGTGTAACAGCTTCTTGGGTTTGCTGAAATCCACACACAAATTTCTGATTCCCACATGTAATCTGGTTTGTAATCATTTGGCTCTTGTCCTGTCTTCTTTGATTTGGTTAATACATTTCTGGAAAAGTCTGATCAGTGAGTTTCCAAAACTAAGTATTTATTTATTTAGTTGTATAGGTGAGGACTCAAAGAAAAAACCAAATAGGATTCTTTTGTGTGTTTATGTGGTAAGGATGCTAATCAAATGATTTTGCTTGAGATAGGACAGTTGTGGAGCAGTGATTTGGAGGAAGGTAAGTTATTAGAATTACCCTTCTCGCTACTCCAGCTTAAATGTGCTTCTTCCAGTTTCAATTCCGAGTAGACATACACTGTTAAGATGACTATTTTATTTTGAGCAGTGGTTCTCAATCTTTATCATGTTTCAGAATCACTTAGAAGGTTTGTTAAAACCCATGTTGCTATGCTCCATACCCAGAGTTTTGATAGAGTTGGTCTGGGGTGAGCCTCAAGAATTTTGCATTTCTAAGTAGTACCTAGGGGATACAGATGCTGCTGGTCTAGGGACCACACTTGGAACCACTGATTAAGAGCAATGGGAAGCATCTGTCCCTGTTCAAGGTGTTGTGGAATGGGGGTGGGAAGTTTGACAGGGAGAGAGAGGGGGAAAAAAGTTGAAGAATACTGATTATATGCTTAGTTACCTAGGAGCTTTGACTTCTGAGCTCTTACAGCATATCACAAGGTTAAATGTTGGTGAAGCTGTTAATACTGGGAATTGGATAAAGTTAAGAAGGGGCAATAAATTTGATTGTTTCTTAACATTGGCCTTCTCTTTCTCATCTATTTCTTGCATCTTCCTTCAACCTGGGCTTTCCTCTGAACCCCCCACCCCTTCTAGGATAAATGTAGGTAGGTGCACTGTAACATTTCAGAAGTGAGAGAAATGATGAGGTACTATATGAAGTTTCTTAGAAAGTTAACACATCAGTCAAATTTACCATTATCATTAAAACCTTATCTATTTGTTGTTTACCTCCTTATGGTTGTAGCAATTAGGATGGTGATTGAGCTGAAATATACCTTTGCAGTATTTATAGAGCTTTCAAACAAATCAATATATTTAGGCTGTTGCCCAGGGAATTTAACTTGTTTAATGAAAAACTGCTTTCAGATTATTTCAACATAGCCAATAACATACATTTGATTGATAATTAGAAATCAATCTGGAGTATTCATCCTACATAAGCTGCTTTTAACTTGTAAGTCTTATTAGGACTGCTAAGACTACATTTCTTTAGGAGTATGTAATTCAGATTTTTTCACTCACGCAGACCTTTCACTGTGTTAGTTCGAATAACTGCGTTTGTTTTTAAATATAGAGTGCAAGATTATATCCATTCATCATTTCTATTAGATTCAATCTCAGCTTTATTTGGGGGCATTCAAGTTTGTACCAGATGTCTTTTGTATGGACACTAGAAAGAGGTTACAGTTCAAAGCAGAAAATATCACCTTCAGAGGGGTTCTTTTAATTTTGCTTATGAAGCACTTTTTCCAATGTTGCTTTCCTTTAAATAATGCCCTGTGCTCAAATTTTCCTAGAATAAAACACCCATCAGGTAAAGGATTTAAGAGATCTAGGCCATGCTTACTCAATGAAATGCAGCAGAGTGGAAAATACCCTGTCTTGCCAGCTCAAGAAAACTATGATTTTTCTGATCTGGTAGTTAAAGGCTATTATATTACTTAAAGAGCTGCTTTTACATAGAATTAACTTATTAGGAGTAGGCTTTCGTCTCTTGTAAAATTAGGTGTTCGGGTTTCTATGTGAAGGAATTAGTCTGTAATCTAAAGGATGATTTTGAAGCCAGTGTGACGCTCTATTTGAACCTCTGTGCTTCTTTTCAACCCTTGTCCTTTTGCTGTGAAGACCAACCTGAGTCAGATCATTGAGGATTAATAATGAATGCATTGCTCAGCACCCTGCAGGGGTTGGGTCAAATACCCTGGATTTGAAAAAGTTACTCTTTTGCTTAGTAAGCCCACAAGTTTCAGGTCCAACTGCAGAATGCAAGTTCAGTATTCTGTTGATTAACATGGTCCACCTGAACATGATCTATGGCTGTTCTTGATGTTTTTTTCTTTATGCTTGTGTGTAACAGTGTCTAGAATAACTGGAGGGATTGCCAATTAATTTTATCCACAACTGTGATAATGCTGAGAAGATTGGTTCCCATGTAGTATTCCTGATGAAATTTATCCTTTGACTTGAATCAGAAGTCTGGCATGTTGAGGAGGAAAAGGGGCTGTGTTTATTTTAGGTTGCCAAATGGAAATGCAGAGAAGCAGGGAGCCTGTGAGAATATGACTGTGAGGCAGAGATTGGGGATTCCAGATCAGATACCCACTAAGGAGAACTATTCTGTTTGAAATCTCTCTCAGAGAAAGGAAAGCAGGTGGCTTTTCTGGTCCATTAAAAAGAGTAAAGTGGTGTCCTAGGAAGGACTGTCAAGTCCTCGGGGAGAGGAGGTCCAGGCTTGCACCCAGGGGCCAGCTCTGCTGCTGATGAGGAAGGAATTGATTTCTGCAGGCCATGGAAAAGGAAAAGAAACCAGGGATATTAACATGTGTGTGAGAAGGCAGCGATAGTAGTGAGCCAAACCAGAGGAAATTTATTTTATTTTAAATTTTTTTCAACTGTAGGTGGACATAATATCTTTATTATTATTTTTTTTTATTTTTATGTGTTGCTGAGGATCGAACCCAGCACCCCTGCATGCGAGGCAGGCACTCTACCACTGAGCTATAACCCTAGCCCAGGAAATTTATCTTGATGCTTATTGTCATAGAAGTTTATTTCAAAGTTTAACTTGTCTTGAAGTAGAACCAGGTAATAAGATTTTTAAAGTATTTGGGATTTTTAAATATTTTCCACTTAACCACGTTTGTACTCCAACCTGAATTCTAGGAGAATTCTTCAGGAGAATTCTAATGTGTTTAAAAGCATCATCATCATTCTCATCTTTGTCTACTAGTGTTTATGAATTATACAACCAAGGTCTTAGTCTTGAAGAGATGTCTTTAATGAAAAAATCACTTGTGTTTTTCCAGGTAGTCCAGCCATGACCCATAGGAATCTGACTTCCTCCAGTCTGAATGACATTTCTGATAAACCAGAGAAGGACCAGGTAAGCAAAGAATTCTTGACTTTTTGAAATGTACAAGTGAATGTGTGGCTAAACAATGCTAGGAAAAGATTAGAGATGATGGTTGCCTCATGTAACATGGACCATTATGCGTCCTTTATGCTTGCACTTTACCTGAGGGAAGGTAACCAGTATGTGAAGAGTTCTGGAGTCAGAACAGAATTTACATCTTGATTCCAGCCTTTGTGGGTGGTGATGGTTTGGGCAATTTAAACCTTGGAGCTATAGTTGATTAGCTTTCAAACAGTAATAACCTCTGCCTCAGGAGCGTTGTGAGCATTAAATGAGATAATTTATGAAAGTGTTTGGGTAAACTATAAACAGCTAAGAAATGTTGGCAGTTGTTAATTTTGGAAGGATACAGCAGGCTCAGGTACTGATTGTTAAATCATCTCTCTAGCTTTATATTTGTTTGTCTATTAAAACCTGTAGCAAGTAACCTATTTGAAATGAAGAGCAATTGGGTTTTGAATCTGCTTTCTTTTCAAAAGAATGTGGGCCATTTTCCCAGTTGGCTGTATCTACCTGTGGAGAGATGTATTTCAAGAATATAGTTTATCAATATTTATAAAAGGATGCTTCCTGATTAATAAAGAAGTTACGGCTTCAAACAAATCAAAGTGGCATATTTTTAAAAGGACAGAAACCCCAACCCATTTTCAGGGTTATAGTGGAGGTAGCTATGTTGGAAAGAACAAGAAACAAAAAGCAAGTACCATGGACTTGGAACTTGTTTCAAAACTAGATAGTTATGTAATGAACCCCAGTTTTCTACTTTGTTAAGTGGTTCACTTCAGAAAATCAAGTATCTGATTCTTGCTCCTTTTGTCCTTTGATATAGAGTGTGATTCTAGTTGGCTTCATGCTTGACATTGCTAATTGTGTATCATTTATGTGACCTTATTCTTCCTTTCTTTCTCTTTTAAGTAGGGTGGTTTTGAAGATTTCTTTTTCACACCTTGCTATTTTTTTCTAAAAAAGGCAATATTCATGACAGTGTTCTTCTTTAACTGGCAGCACTTGTAGTAACGACAGAGGTTTATAGGGATGGTGAATTCTAAAAAGAACAGGAAAGGTGAAATTACATTCCTTCTTATGAAATGGCTCTTGGATTCTTTTTACCTTCTCCTTTCCACCAGCAATACTCAAATAGGGCCGTCATCATCTCCGATCTGGATTGTTAGAAAAACCTTTAGAACTAAACCTTTATTCCCACTTTCTCCCAGTTCAATGTGCTTTTCATATTATTACCCTCATTTTTCTTCTCCGAATTGGAGACTGTCGAGTTAAGTTTCCTTCAAAGCTCTTTTGCACATTTGGCTTCATTCAGTATTTACCAAGCAGAGTTGGCTATTTAGGTTGTTTGCCAGGGATCTTGAAATTGGGTAAGGCAGTACACTGGTTAGGTTAGGTATATCTGGTTGACAAGACTTTTTGAGGAATTCTTTTTTTAGGAATAGCCCTCCTCTGGCCAAGAATTTATCATAGACAGCTGGTAAATTCTGGCGGAGAGAAATTTCCTACCTTCTTGGATCTTTTCATTTTTGGGTATATGTAGAAGAAGTTTGATGACTTATGATACAAATTGCACGAGATTTTGTTTTAGTGATAGAAGAAATATGTTGGGATATTATGATATTTTGAAGTTCATTTTGCTATAAAACCTGTGTGACCGGGTCCTTAAAACCAGAATCTTCATTGCCTATCATTAACATCTCAAAGTTATGAAAGTTCATGTTAAGATGAAGCCAGAAGGTTTAACTCAAGAGTTTGATTCCTCTTGTTTTCAAAGCGAGCAAATGAAGATTGGTAAAAATACTATTATAAGAGCAACTGTCTATGCAAATGGTGTCTATTACAGTAATTATACTTAATCTAATGTGTTCTTCTGTCCAAGAAGAGGAAGAAAATCTGTTCTTTACTTCCTACCAAAGGGCTTGAAGAGGAACTGTGACTGATTTATGATGTCTTCCACAACCAAAAGTAGGGGAGGAATTCAAAGTAGTATTTCCAGTTTCTTTCTGTACCTTCTCTCTTAGTAACTAGAAATATAGAAGGCCCTAGGTCATTTTAGGGTGAGAAGAAAAGATGGACTTGCAAATAAGATGAAGATGAAGATACGATAAATCTGACACGACTCCCCTTTTTTAAAAAACTTGTTTTAACACAGTAAATCTAGGCTTTAATTTTTTAACCTGATTTTCCTCTGTTGGGGTAGGAAAAAAGGTTGCCAGGCTTAAATTTGTTTTGAAAAGCTTTTATAATTAATTAGCCAATGTCCTGGAAGTGAGCTTGGCAGTAAAGTCAAACTTGTCCTGTGTGCTTATCCAAGTTGGCCCCAAAAACTTCCATCCAACTGCGACTGAAGTTCTGATTGACTGATTATTCTGCCTGAATACAATCTCAACAGTTGCGATGGTGCCTCATGGCTTCCTGGAGCTATATAACTTCCCAGTAGCACAAGGGATGGTTTTAATGTTCAGAGATACAAAGAGGAACAGAACAGCTCTTTCTGACAGCTACATAGTGACAAAATTTGAGGGCATATTTTTTTATGAGATTCTGTTTTGGGAAAACAGAAGAAACAAATCTGTGGACTGCACTTTTTCTTTCTGGCTCTGCCAAGCCTCTGAACTTAGGATTTCAGAAGCGGCTGCCTGATTGAGAAATAGCTCAAAATAGTTAACAGCAGAAGAGCATAGCCAAAATTTAGGTGATTCAATGCTTTAACAATATTCCAACTTGGATGTTATATTTATTAAGCAGAAAAACACCTGTGGACAGTAGATTAAAAATACATCTGGAGCTCATCTAGTTGTAAATCTACATAAATAACTTCTTCTATTTTGTTGCTATGGAGTTGGTTTTTTTTTTTTTTTGCATTATGCAGTTATCTTCCTTGGTTATCTTAGATTGATTTGTTTTTTATCCCCCTTTATTCCTTTCCTGATCTTTTAAAACTTTACATGCGTGTTAGATGGGCGTTCATCAAATGTGGTATCTTTAGTTTCAGTTTTCATGTGTTACAGAATTAGCTGAGTGGATAAGACATTTTTTCTCATCATTTTACTTTTGAGCTTTAACTCTTGTAGAAGTACTGTGCTCATTGGTACAATAACTTCAGAAGGGGTTGACTTTTTTTCACGTTTATCAACAACGCAATAACGTTTCTCACAATTCCATGTTCAACTTTAAGTGAAATTGCAGTCTGAAGTTTGCAGTGGATACAGAGTTCATGGAAATACCTTACAGATTCCCAGGGAGACGTGTAAGGATCACATAGCCTTAGAGCTGCTTGTCTGATTATCACTTCCTTGATACTTATTATTTAACAGGCTTCCCTGAGAATTTATCCCATTGGCCTCCTCATGAAATTTGGCCTAGGGTTAATGTGTAAAGTGTTTTATAATTTTTAAGCATCATATATTATCCATTAGCTTTAAATATATTTGGGTGCCTTTTTATTTTTTTGAAGTGTTGGTCTTCTATGATAGTAAACCCAAGTTTAGATATTTTGTCAGAGAGTAATAAGATGAAACCATTAAGTCACATACAAACTTGAAATTGCTAAGCCATGATTGCCAAAAAATGAAATCTAGAAGGAAACACTCGGTAGCTGAATGACTCCTAGTCCTTCTCTTCCTCATACATGACATGGGTGCAAGTCAACCTCTTTTAGCTGAGATGACTCTTTCATGGTTTTGAAGGTATGATTCCATCCCAGAGCATAGACGGAGCTTCCCTCAGCCTTAGTAGCTGGTTCATATTTATGGTGACAGAAATATACCCAAACATCTTTTTTTCTTTTTTATGGCTCAAACACTGAAGTTCACACTGAATATGGATAGTCTTACTTTACCCCTCAAGGGAGGCACCGTGGCTGAGAAAAGATCATGATCTCCACGATTAGAATAGTGGTCTTCAGCATGTTTTCAGGGACCAGTGAGGCACTGCTGTGTCAGAACAGCTCCACGGGGAATTGCATCTGTGAAAACTTGAGAACAAAGGTATGTGGTGAGCAGGGTTACAGTCCTTGGTCACTACAGTTTTGCTCATGGCTCAGTGACTGTGGCTTTCCTTGGGCCATGTGTTTTTGAAGGGAACTTGTGTGGCCATGATTATCCTTAGGTCCCTTTCAAATAAGATCAAGTTGCGTTTAGATAACTAATAAAACAGATGTTTGTCATCACCTTTTGTCTAATAGAAATTTGACTTAATATAGCTTCCTTTTTCTACCCTGAGCTCTGTCCCGTGGTCTTAAAGTTCTAACTACTGGTGGGTGGGAGTAGAGTTTGAGAAGCACTGTCAGTACTGATTTCAAGAACCTGTGTGTTTTAAAGTTGGGACAGTTGAATTTCCCTTTTATTGATGCTGGACTTTCTTGAAAGCCATTTGATTCGATCAGAAAACCAGCATTCAATTAAAAGCAGGTTTATCAGCTTTAACATGATAATAAATCATAACCATATGGTTGTAAATAAACCATAACCATAATGGTTATATATGTACACACACATACAAGAATTCTTTACCTACTATATAGTAACATGTTCTTACTATAATATTTTTAAAAAATCTTAAAAGAGTTTTCTAGTTCAGGAATATACAAAACTGCTGTAAAACTTAAAGCAGGCAAGCTTGAATAAAATAGAAAATAATAATTCTTAAATTCCAGCCCTTCAAAGTAGCCACTATTAGCAGTTCAATGTAAAGTCTTCTGGACTTTTTTGATGCATACTTATATGCTTCCACATGTAAAAGAGAAATAGGATTGTATTCTTCTACAACCTGATTATTTTTAACCCACAGTATCATGGAACCTACCTTATTCTTCTTAATGGCTACATAGCACACATAATCATATTTTATTGAAATGATCTTCTATTAATTGATACTGAGTTATTTTCAATTCTGTATGATTACAAATAAGCTCAGACAAAATATTCTTATGGTAATTTTTAGTTTTCTTTCATGAGTATTTT